GGTTTTTGGAGAGAAAAAAATTTTAGAGAATGTACAATTTTAAATGAGACATTGGAGTCAGACAGGAAAGGTTGAAGAACTGGGCTGAACTGTGGAATATCACACACTCCTAAATGGGGTGTGCTGAAGATACGGTGACAATTGACCACAAGAGTTCAAAAAGGCTGAAACTGTGGATAGTACCTTCCTCCCCTTCCCTCCCCCAGGTATAAAATATCAGGACCCCCTCCCCATATTATCATAATATCTGATATTAGAAAAATCAAACCCATATGCAAATGGAGTAAATGGATTTTAGTTAAGGAGCCATGAGCAGTGAGGTTAGTCCTGTGTGGATTGGGGAGGGTTTGGGTCAGAAAGAATGCATTAATGAGAGAACATTAAATTGTGTGAAAAAGGGCTCTTCCAGAGGCCTGTGCCTCAAGATGGCTTCTGGTTAAAGCTTTAAGTCCATCTATTCTCCAGCAAACTATGGTTGTCTCTTCAGTAGAATGGTTATTCACATGTGCCACATCTGTGATGCCTGGCCTGGTTTGACCCTCGATCTCCCTTTGCCTAGTGATACTCCTGCTGTGGCCCCGGAGGCCAGTGGGAAGGTGGCTCCTCACAGCTGTGGCTCCCCTTGCACAGTATACAAGCTGTCCCAGTACAGGTCAGGTCAGCACAATGCCAACAAGGGCTGCACCGAGTTCTCCAAACTGATGAAAATATCTAAGGGTTTGGGGTCTGAAAACACAAAAACAAAATCCTTGGTGAGCTATATCAATAAAAACAGAAGAAAGGAGAAATGAACACAATTAAAAATGAAAACCTGAGAATAAGCCACCAACACAGAGGAAATTAAGAAATCCTAAGTGCCTCTATTGTAAAAACTATGCAAATATGTTGAAAAAAGGGACTGTCATTAATTTTCTTAAACATCTGTAACTAAAGTTGACTCCAGAAGTGCTTGAGGACCTAAACTTCCCAAATGGGAGGAATTCAGACACACACCAGTGGATGCCCAGACAACCCCCAGGTGAGTTCTTTTACACTTAAGAAGATGATTCTCGGGGCTCCTGGGTGGCTCAGTGGGTTAAAGCCTCTGCCTTCAGCTCAGGTCATGATCTCAGGGTCCTGGGATCAAGCCCCGCATCGGGTTCTCTCTGCTCAGCAGGGAGCCTGCTTCCCCCTCTCTCTCTGCCTGCCTCTCTACTTGTGATCTCTCTCTGTCAAATAAATAAATAAAATCTTTAAAAAAAAAAAAAAAAAGAAGATGATTCTCAAACCAAGTAACCAGTTGCAGAATATAGAGATTTTTGCTTAATGCACAAAAGCAAGCGACAGAATGATTAATCTCAATTATCAGTACTAATAGGGAAAAATCACATGTAGGGATCATCTCAGGACTCTAACAGTGGTTTGGTCTTAAGGAATCTATTAATATAATACAACATACTATTAGAGCAAAGGGGAAAGCTTTCTGATCATCTCCATAGATACTGTGAGGCTGTGACAATAATCTAACATCTATATATTCCCCCCAGAAAGCCTGAATAGTTTGAGAACACACGGATACTTTTTTATTATGACAAGGAAAATACATGTCTTCATACAAGATGAATAGTGAGACACTGAACCATCCCATTAATGTCAGGAACAAGATAGGTATGCCACCTGAATCACTATTATTTGACACTGTTCTCAAGCGCAATTGCCTAAGGGAAAGAAATAAGGGAAATTATTGGAAAGAAGAAGGCAAAAGAAAATCTTAGAAACAATAAGAAAACATAGTTAAAGCAGTTATGGCATTAATATACAAAATCAACTATATTCTTATACATCCAGTTATCAAATAAAATGGAAGAAATATTCCATTGAAAATGGTAGCCAAACAATAAACTATCTAGAACTAGACAAGAAATTCATAGCACCTATCTGAACAAAACCATAATAATCTACCAAGTGGCATAAAATTAGATTTGAACACAAGCCTAGACTGCAGCACTCTTGAATAGGAAGACTCACATAAATTCATTGTGACCTCAATGAGGGAGACAAACCATGAGACACTCTTAACTATAAGAAACAAACTGAGGGCTGCTGGAAGGGAGGGAGGTAGGGGTGAGGTAACTGGGTGCTGGGCATTAAGAAGGGCATGTGATGTGATGAGCACTGGGTATTCTATGAAACTGGTGAATCACTGAACTCTACATCTGAAACTAATGATGTGCTATATGTTGGCTAATTGAATTTAAATAAAAAAAATGTGTGTATGAGAAAGGGAAATGGAGGAAAGAGAGTAAGAGAGAGAGAGAGAGGATGGGAAAGGCAAGAAATGGTAAGGGGATGGTTAACTTGAAAATATCGATTTGTGAATATTTAATATTAACATGAATAAAGCTTCAGAAATGAAAAGCATTCACAGAGAGACAAACCAATAAGTAGAAATAGCCCCAAAACACTTGACAGGAATTTAGTTTACAAACAAGGAGCCATTCTGAACAAAATGGGGAAAAGACTAACTGTATTACAGGGATACACTATTATATATTTTGTTGGCACAACTGACCAACCATTTGGAGAGAAAAAAAAATGCATTTTTACCTTCATTTCCTGCAGTAAATGAATTCCAGGGAGTTAGAAGATGTAAAGGTAAACAAATGAAACCATAAAAATTTAGAAGAAAATATGAGTAAATTTATTTATAATCTCAGAACGGGGAAGACCTTTTAAAACTAGAAACAAATCCCAGGATCTACCCAGGCAAATATGGATAAATTGACAACATAAAACTTTAAACTTTCTATATGCTAAGAAATAAATCAATAAATAACATCAAAAGACAAAAATAAACAAATAAAAATATTTTCTAAACATATAAGAATATTTTCAAGATATAAGACAAGAAAGTTCCAAAGTACACAGGCAAATTAATTAAGAAAGAGCCAAATAACCCCAAATTATGTAAAGGACATAAATTACAAAAATTGAAATTTCTAAAACATATCTGAAAGATACTCAACTTTAGTCATAATAAAATGAACTAAATCAGAATAACATTGCAATATAATTTTTCACCAGATTGGAAAATATATATATATTAAGTTTGATAATACCCAGCACTGAGAAAGTTGAGAAACTAGCCTTTTCATTATATTCTTGGTAGGTATATCCATTGATTGTTATTTGGAGGGTAATCTATCAATATCTACCGAATGGTAAATGCACAGAGCCTTGAATCCAGCAATTCCATTTCCCACTTACACCATTCCCATTTATACCAAGATATGGTCACAAATGCATGCTAAGATATAAATCAAGGATGTTCATTACAGATTTGTATATAAAAATTAAAAAAACCCTGGAAATTACATGTTCACTAATAGACTAACCAAAAAAAAATTTAAAAAAAGTCCATCGAGACAATGGAATGCTAAGCAGCTATTAAGAAGAATGAGGTAGATCTTTTTATGTTGCTATGAAAGGATAAAACACTAATCACAGAAAGCAAAGTGCAGAGTGCTGTGCATAGCAGGAGGGGATAGCAAAGGAGTCTCTCTGAGCCGCCTTACACCCCCTCCCGGCCTCCCTCCCTTTCTTTTTCTTCCTTTCCGGAAATGCCCCCCAGTCCTCAGAAGCTCATTCACCGGTGGTCCCTGTAACTATTTATGCTTTTCTTACTACATGTGAATCTTTTCCTTATTATCACTTTCTAAAATGGCAGAGTACTGGTCGAGGGGTTAACATATAAACTACTTTTGTTTGCTTTTTTAATGTTTTTCTGTATAAAATACAAAATCAAAGTTAGTTTTTTTTTTTCCAAGCAAAAGTGTTACAGAAGTTTTCAGGTAGCAATAAGAAATGAAGCATTCTCTTATATATCAAAACATTTCTACTTGTGTCTACAATAGGGGAAAAAACAAAAAAAGAAAGAAAAGATTGTGCGTTGTTCATCCATCCCATGTAGAACGGCTGAACTCTGAGGACAGCCCTGCTCCAAACGGCGTGACGTTGGCTAGAATGCCCTTACTTATCAACCTGCTTATCCCCTCTGCAGCTGCACACTCAGCACTCACGCACACCCACACTCGGAGCATGCCTGAGCCTCCATTCTCCTCAGTGCAAACAAATCCATGTGCATTACCCAGAAATGAGTGAAATAAATGGCCGGAGAAAGGTATGCAATTTCTTTCTCTCTGAAAACATAATCTTCCCTCATAATACACCCATCTCAGGGGTTAGAAGCAAATTAAAGATCTCCAGGAGCTCAAAGCCTTCTGCGGTTTTGAGCTCTGATCTGTTCCTAGATGAAACAACAGAGCAGGAGAGATTTTGCTGTGTCTCCTTCTGATTGCATTAAAAATAAGGAAACTGGGAAGAGTCAAAGTGACCACTGTCAGCTAGATAATGTAACTGGAGAATTCTGTCACCACACAGGTTTAAAATGAAAGATTCCTTTGCTTTCAAAATGCTTATCTCCAGTGAATCTACCTTTTCAAGCTACCTTTCTGGGCTAATGTTGGAGCTGTTGAGCTGTGGGAAAGCAGATCCCTAAAAGCCAAAGACTGGAGTTACTGGTCCGGGAAAGCTGCTGCCCACATCATCCCCTTCCCAGTTCCTGCCATACAAGGAACCAGAAGAGGTCCCAGATCCTGCTCCTTGGCCTTGACACATAAGGAAAGGCATAGCATACTTTCACTTTATATTGTGCATTTGTACAGACCCACAAGTTTCTAAGACTAATCAACTCAAGTACACGAGAAACATCTAATGCATTATTAAACATACACACACACACACACACACACACACACAGCTGGCTTAATTTAACTTTAGCTATTACATTGGGCTTACAATTTTTAACAGAATTCTATTTGCCCTTTGGGTTTTTCAGAATAGAGCAAACTCAGCTCCCCAGTGTCTGAGGGCAGCACAGGAAGTTTGGGAGTCTCCTGGTATCTACAGACATCCCCCTGCCTGGGCCAGGTGTGGTCCTAGTTCAGAATCAACATACATCTATGTCCCTCCTGATTCCCACCACAGGGTAGCTTGGCAGAAAATCAGACTGGTAAAAGCATAATTTAAAAGACCAACTATGCCTCTCTCTCTCTCTAATAAAATGCAAGAGCAGTGTAAAATTGTCTCTCTCTACCATCTATGGCAGATAAAAATAAAATCTGAATCACAGAAAAACGAGCAGTTAGGTTTTTACTTTTAGTTTTGTGTCCTTTTACCAATTATCTGAATGGATCTAGTGAGGGTGGTTTATTACTATTATTGTTACTTTCCATCGAGGTTTGTAAACAGGCAAAAGCTTATGCTGAATTTTCACATAGGCCTTCTGGCAAGTGACATGCAGGCATGCAAAACCAACTGTACAGGCCTCCCCTGGCGGTCTCGAGCCACCCTGACCTCTCTGAAGGGCTCACCAGGCATTGGGGAATGGGCAAAAACAGCTTTCAGTGGTCCTGGTGACCCTAAGGATGTTCCAAGAATATGAAGTAGCCCATCTGAGAGGGTTCAACAAAACGTGCTGAGATTCTATTATTCAAAGTAACAAGGAAACTATAACGGATATGACTGGCAGCGAGCGCTCCGGGTACATCAGCATCCTCACGTCTAGTGTAGCACCCCGAATTCTCCCCAAGCCAAAGGCATCGCCTGTCGGTGCGTTTCCCACATGTTGGGGACCAAGACAGGGTTAAGCGAAGTCTTTCGACACAGCCTCGACGAAGTTTGGGGCTGACATCAGGATGCCGATGGTGCAGATGATGGTGAAGACAGAGAAGGCCATGAGACACAGGCGGTCCACCACGCACGCCGCGAATTTCCACTCACTGCAGATGGCCTCGCTCTCGTCCTGGCAGCGGAAGCGGTTGGCGATGTAGCGGACCTCCTCCAGGATCTTAGCCAGCTCCGGGTCCCCCTCGGAGGACTGCCCACCATGCAGGAGGTGCTCGTCGTGCGTGGGGGAGCAGGCCATGCGACCACACACGACGCCCGAGTCGGGGGTGGGGGCACAATGCACCCCATCCAGACCGCGGAAGCCGATGTAGAGCAGGTTGCCGTTGGTGGTGGGCGGTCCAGCCACCGCACTCATCTCCACGCTGGCCAGGCTGCAGCGACGCTGACGCGGCTTGTGCTGGCAAGCCGGCCTCACCTTGTCCTCCCCCGGCCTCTTCATGCGCAGGAACCATGCGCACCAGTTCAGAAGGATAACTCTGGTCTGGGGAGACAACAGGGAAGTTAGAAGCGAGCATCAGCAGGTCCTGATCGCAGCCCTACTTGTGGGGGGAAGGGGTTCCTGGGGGAGCCAGGCTCCCACTTCTTCCCTGAGTTTACACAGGCAAGCAGTGCCAACATGTTGCAATGGTTGGGTCAAATGTGAGCCTAGAATAAACCAATCCAGAAAGTCACCCTGGGAATGAGCGGAATTCTCAGTGGCAGACACACTGCAGTCTTGGGGCAGACAGGCATACGGGAGGAGAGAGCTGTCTTGGAAAAAGAGCCCTGCCTGAGTTGTGTGAACAAAATAAGTCACCTTCCCTCTCCAATCTTCCCCCATCTGTCACCAGCGACCATCATACCCAGCTGCCTGTGGGGCACCCCAGTGCCAGGGCAGACTTGCAGGGGCACACCGCTGGAGATTTAAAAATTTTCAAGGGCAACCCCGTGACGCCTATCAGATGCTGCATGAACCCCTAGCTTGAAATAGTTCCTACTGGAACACGGGGTCCCTTGTAAGGATGGCATATCATTGCAAAGCAGGTTTTTGTCCTGATGAAAAGCAAGTGCCAAGAAAGTCAACATGGAACAAAAAATGGGGGCACTGTGCTCCTAAGATTTGAAGGGGTGTGCCATGCCAACAGGTGCCTGGGGGTCAGGACATAAATACTTATTACGTTATTTTGACCACCTTAATAAAGAGAGCCATTAGGTGGGGTTTTTTTTGTTTGTTTTTGTTTTTGCCCTAGGGCCTGTGAAAAAAATCCCTGAGACACTAAAAGAGCTGTGAACCAGGAAAGTTTAGGGACCTCTAACCTAATTCATTAGGCTGCAATGAAGACAGTCAGATGATGTGCAGGAAAGTACTTGGAAAAGTCGAAAGCAGGGGTTGGCAGACTTTAAGGGGCCACATAATAACCTCCATAAGGTCTCTGTTGTAAGTACTCAGCTATTAATAAAGTATAGAAATAGTCATAGAAAGCATGTAAAAAAATAAACATGGCTTTTTCCTAATAACATTTTATTTGCAAAAGCAGCTGGTGGGCCAGATTTGACCACTGGAGCCACAGTTGGCTGACCTCCGGTTTAACGTGTTTTATCAACATATACTGCCTACATGCATAGAAGGTGCTGGAGAGAAATCACTGAGATTTCTGGTTTTTCCCTCTAATGAAAAGAAGGAGCCATGCAAAGCCTCAATTCAGGTTAAAAAATTTCTTGGAAACTTACTGAGACAAGTGTGGGAAGAGTGGGCCCTTTCCCTGAAGTTATCCAGATCCCGATTTTAATTTTGGTTTAGGATTGTGTCACCACAATCAGCAACATAACAGGTATGTTTCCCGTCTGTAAGTACAGGCAGTAAGTTGGGAAGTTAATGCCTGTAGCACTTTAATGGCCTCTTCTCAGAGATAACTGCAGTAGACCTGTCTGGAGACAGGCAATGAAAAGAACAACAAGGCATACGTGCAGGTTCACTCCAGCTGTAAAGAGAACCCTTTGCTCAGGGCAGAGGCACTCTGCATATCCCGCCCACACCTTATGGACAAATCTCCAGAGCCTGGAAAAGCCTGTCTGCATACCCTGGAGGGTTTTCCATGACCAGTAAGGAGCAGGGACATATGGCCCCCCATGAATCTGCAGGTCAGTCCGGCCCTCCACAGGAGGCTGATAAGACATGCCAGTTCAGTTGGTCCTCTCAGGGCCTCTGTGAAGTGAGTATAATTTCTCCACCCATTTTACAGATAAAGAAACTGAGGCTCCAAAGAGGCTAATAAATTGGCTTAAGGTCACACAGTAAGCAAGTCATCTATGCATTTAGGCTTTCACGGCTCATCTGTGAGAGGGTCTATGAAATCTTTTTCAACACTCCTGTGATTTTAGCCCAACCCCCACTTCAAGGGAATGCATTGGGCAGCAAGTGCGTCCAAGCCCAGAGACAGCTATACAGATGGAGTGTGTGTGTGTGTGTGTGTGTGTGTGTGTGTGTGTGTGGCGGGGGGCAGGGGAGTCTGTGCCTACCCTGGAGCACATCTCAAGCTAATGTGGTCCACACTACCAAGTCTGTTCTGAGTTCCATGGCCTAAATCATTCATTAGCTTTCAAAGCTAAAGCATCTCCAAAGATGCAATTATCCTCTTGACACTTATCAAACTGTGCTCATGACCTCTTCTGTTGGGTTATGGTTTTGTGTCTGGCTGTGTAAATGTCACATAATGCCACGGCACCGGCAATATCTTCTTCATAGCAACACGTCATAATAAAAGTTCCTTGAAGGCTATTTATTTTTCAAATACACCCAGAAAGAAAGAAAAATGCAGGAGCCTATATAAATTGAAAGTGAGAGATCCAAGCTTCATATTTCATTTGCAGCCATTGGTTTTAACACCCTCCCGTGCTGAGAGGTGAATAATTAGCATAGACTCTTAATTAGGATTTTTTTTTTTCCTGGGCAGTAAAGTACTATCAGGTCTTTAAAAATGGTTTTGTGTCTTAAACATAAGGAATAATAATATGCGTTTTTAGTTTTACATTGGCATAAATAAACACTTGAAGGATAATGGGGAAATTGCTTAAAATGGCTATCAGTATTGGTGGTGGAAGCACAGTGAGGGGTGGGAATGAGAGCAGGATTTCCTTCCGTATGATTTTACTTTCACTTTGACTTTTGAAACATGTGAATGTATTACCTTTTTCAAATGGAAGGAGGGTAGCCAGAAAGTGTGTCAGGGTTGTAAAAGTCAGATGAAAATGTAGTGAATGTGTGCAAATGTGTCCCGTTTTTTAATGGGGGGACCTTCTCAAAACAAGCCCACGGACTGCAGTGATGTGACATGTGTGGGAGACAGCACCATTTCTGGGGGCTCATTCCAGTGCTGATGCAATGAGCTATGAGAGCAAGTTGTTATTAAGTGTATGAAATTGCTGTGGAAAAGAACCTAAGAGGAGAGAGTAATTCGGTAAAGTAAAAAAAAGAAAAAAGAAAAATTTTAAATTGGTCTTTCCTAAGTTCACTTTGGGTAACTGTAAATTATTGCACAATCAATAGTTTTAGAAGGCCTGGGAATGCTTTCTTCCCAGAGGTTCACAAAATGCCCCTTACGTCTTGCACCTGCATTTAGCATGTGTGTGGGGGGGGGGTTCTTAGAGTCCCTTCCGAACTTGGATGCAAGGTTACAGATCTCCAAAGAAAACAGCCTTGTTCTGACATGAGAGGGCTCCTTTAGCACCTGCTGTGCCTAGGCCATGCTCTCTGGACAAGAACACTGGAAGGTCTGCAGGGCCCAAGTAAGGATCAATTCCGCCCCTGGCCCTGGGTGTCGTCACACTGTGCTGAGGTGAGGAAAGCCCAGGCCATACTTGGCCCTAATCAAGGTTTCCTGAATGTCAGGTGAGGACGGGCGTTGAGCTTCAGATCCCAGACTCCCAAGGGCACAGCTTGGTAAGCATCTGCCTACATCCCAGTGCCCAGTGCTGAGCAGGAGCAGGGAAGGTATGGCATGACCCAGGGCTGACATAACAGGCTGTTATATTCAATCATTTATCTTTTTCCCTTTTGCTTTTATCCTAGCCCCCCTCCCCACTGGTGACCACTAACCTTTATTAGATAGGCCTGTGGTGCGGTGGCATCCTCCAGGCACTGACTACATGTGTTAATACAGGGCTCACTCTCTCTCACCCTGCTGGTCTTCATTCTGTTTGGAAGATCCAACCACACAGCTGGGTGCTTATCTCCTCTGCTGCTTCCAACCACTGTCCTGTTCGCCACAGCGTACGTGCGAAACATTTTAAGAAACACACTGGTAGCCAAACGTAGAGAGCGGCCAGTGTGTGGGCCCCGTTCTGGAATGTCAGATTGCAAGAACAGTGCCATGGGCCCCTAAGAGCATGCTCACCGTAATAGTCCAGAGGTAATACAATAGTGCGGACCGGTGAGGTCCTATGGGATACATGGCTCTGTGTTGAGGGCTGCTAGCTGTCTGTGGGGTTTTTAAAACAGATAATTCATCTGTGGAGTCACCCGCGCTGAGGGCCCCTGACTCCCTGTGGTGAAGAGCAGAAGGGACGCACCCACTTGGGCATCTTGCCACCGTCAGGGTCGTGGTGGTGGTACTGCAGCACGATCACCGTCACGACCACAGAGAGGCCCACGATGATCATGGTGCTGGCAAAGTACTGGGCTGCAAAGACAAGAGATGCAGGGTGAGTCCCGGGCCCTCCACGGCACAGGCATCATGGCATGGCAGGCAGAACCAGATGGCGGTCTCTGACTGCCTGGGACCATATGGCAGAGCTCGGAGCAGGGCAGGACTGTCTACAGGCCTGCAGAACCCCTGCCCACACACCTGGCAGGCAGAGGCCAGCCTGGAGCACGGGGACCAGCTTTCCCATCCGTGCCAGCTGCTTGGCTTGGCTGACCGCACTTTTGTGAGCTCCGCCAGCCTCCTCCTCCAGTGAGGGTTAACAGTGCCTCACAGGACACTGATAAGGTTGTTCCTAGGAGAAAGGCTGTGGACTGTGATGGGAACTGAGAATACCAGGGTAGTGAAATTCTGGTCCCCATCGTGATAACTGTAGGCCAGGGACATGCTGGAGGCAGGGACGTAATAAGAGCAAACCTGAGCATCACTGGCGGGGTACCTAGAATTAGTGTGGGAAATGAGCCTGGTCCCAATTAATGAGAGATAGGAAGAGGTGCCAGGTGTCTGAAGAAGACGTGAAAGACAGTGACTTCCCTGGCTGAAAATGCCAGCTTCAGCTTCAGTGGGCAAGGATGCATTTCTCCTACTTGGTCCACATGAGAAGCATGGCACATCCTAAACAGCTCTCCACTAACCCACTGCCTCCATCCATGAGTTCAGACATCTATGAGCTTAGACAGGCTACTGAGCCTGTCTGGGCCTCAGATTCTTCAGCAATATGACAGGGATGGCAATGCCTTCTTTTGTGGGGCTGGTGCAGGAATTAGCAATTATATGAGCTGAGGATCTAGAAGAAAGCCTGGCGAAGAGAAGACATTCCTTGATTGGCAACTCTCATTACTAAACCTTTGGTGTGGCTTTCAGCTCAAGGGGGTTGAGCTCGAAGCAGAGGACATCCTGGTGCAGAGGCTAAGTGCATGGCCACACACTCAGTGAAGAATGCCTCCTTTTCTCTGGGCAGGAAGGAACTCACTGCCCCACTGTGGAAATGAAGAGGTACATGTGAGAAGCTGTGAGAGAAGGATATCTGAGACTTCAAGTTAGCACCAGGTGTTTCAAGTTAGACCAGGGATCTCCAAGAAAAAGAAGAAGGTAGAACAAAACTGTGACTTCTGTGGGCTGAGTTTATATGTTGAAGCTCTAGCCCCTGGTATCTCAGAATATGACTGTATTTGAAGACAGGGCCTTTAAAAAGGGGATTAAGTTAAAATGGGGTCCTTAGAGTGGGGCCTGATCCTATCTGACTAGTGTACTTATAAGAGGGGAACTTTGCACACACAAAGGGGTACCAGGAAAGCACCCAGATAGGAAAGACCATGTGAGGGCACAGCAAGAGGGTGGTCATCCACAAGTCAAGCAGAGAGGCCTCACTTAGAGATTAAACCTGCTGGCACCTTGGTCTTGACTTCCAACCTCCAGATTTATAAGCAAATACATTTCTGTGTGTTGACACCCGGTCTGTGGAATTTTACTGTAGCAAACCTAGCCAACCAAGACAATGACCTGAGGAGACATGTGGGGTCAAAGGATCCCCGCAGCTGAAATCCCATCTTTCTAGACATGGGCTATGCACCAACCATGCCTTTTGCTCATCGGTTCATCGGTCAAGGCAGGGATGCCCACTACCCCACAGAGCCTGCTTTCTGTTTGAAGTCTCTAGTGAAAGCATTGTGTTGGAAGGTAGGAAGAGTGGGCTGAAGCATGGTTTCTTGACCTCCGGATGGTAGTGAGAGAACTAGGAACACCCACAAAGGCTTTTCATAGCAATACTGTCTCTCTCTGGTCAAAATTATCACACATTAGGGGAACAAAGGAGAGACTTGCCTTTGTAGTTTGTGAAGCCTGGGACTATCTGTGTAAGAGAAATAGGCTCCCTTAGACCTACCCTCCCTTGTTAACAACACAGGGTGGCCCTCAGGTGGCCTGGGGCAACAGGAATAATCATAGACTCCATTTGTCTTTCTGAACTCCATCACCCAACTGGAGGAGTGATGCTCATATTAAACCTAATATCCCCTATGAGGCTGTTTGCTTCCCATTCTCAAAACTGGCTTGGAGGTTTTGTTCCCTGACCAGGAACAGAGCCCTGGCTATAGTGGCAAAAGTAGCAGATCCTGACCACTGGACCGCTGAGCACCCCTCTGCATGTTCCTACTTATTCCAATCCAGGGAGGTACATAGCCACGGGCAATGCTATCTCCTGTTTCTGTCATCCTGTCCTGGGCTGAAGGTCATGCTTTATATCTGTCTTGTCCAAAACATATTTATCCTGTTTACATTTCCTCACAAGCTTTAACTTTATCCAGAGACACTGAGGTATCTCAGAGTTAAAACGTGAGCTCCTCCAATTTTGACAAAGGATTTGTGGAAGAACAATGACTCAAAGATAAAGTAACAAATCTCTAATGGTAAAATCTCTGGCTGCATAAGTGTGAGGGGGAGAACAATGGGAGGGTACATTTCTGTACCTTCAAGCCAAACCATGAAGCTCAACTCCCCACACTGCCTTACATGTACCCAGGTAAGCAGAGTCTATAGGTCACTCAAACAGTTATAGAAAGTCACTCCTCCTGGGACCATGTGGCTCTCCAGGACCCTCACTAAGCCCACGTCTTCAAAAGAGACCTAACATTTACTTACCTATCAAGGGCACCGAGTCAGATGTCGCAGGCATGATCTCAGCTACCAGCAACATGAAGACAGTAAGAGAGAGTAAAACTGTTATCCCTGAAACATAAACACAGCAGTGCCTGAGACAGAAGAGACGATAACGCCTCAAGTCCATTAACTGTGCCTAATCTGAGATTCAAAGGAGGGAGGTGTGGGGGAGGGGCCAGTGATGTCCTAAAAGTGAATGCAGGGTTCTTTCTCTGTCTGTAAGGGTATGGCCATTTTTCTGGGGGCTGTTCACATCAATTATCAGATCGAGCTAAGTTTAGGAGCCAGAACTTTAGAACAAGGATACAAAATGAATTACTGAACTCAACATAAGTATCTCTCATTTTCTTAATTACATTAGAATTGAGAGGTAGTTACATATAGTAGGAAAACAAAAATAAAACAAAACAAAACAAAACAAAAAAGCCACGCAATCTTAAGACCTCACTTTTGGTCTTGACTTTGCTATTTACTACCTGTGTAACTATGGATAAGTCACTTTAATGTGCCTGAGCCTTGCAGTCAGAAGATAAGGGTTTGAGGGTGATTTCTACATGTACTACATATGACCTTTAATAACTCTTTAAGATGTTGAGAAATTCATTTCACCATTCTAAGTCTTAGTTTTCTTATCTTTCTATTGGATGATCAGAAGGAATTACCCTGTGTACAGCAATATAGAGATGCAAACTGATCGTGAACTAACTAAAGTGTTGCTTCTCCATAACAAATGCTAGCCAGTTGCTCCCCAACAAACAGGATGCGGTAGCAGAAGAGGAGAAAGTAAAGCCCCTCAGGACAGAACCCAGTAGTCTCTTCTTATGCAGTCCCATCTTCTGTGGAGGACCCTACAGATTCTCAGGAGGGCACTGGGCATCTAGCATGAAGCTAAATCAGGAGGCTGTGGTGTTGGGGAGATGCCCTGGGCTGGGAGGTCAGTGTGTGACCCCACATCTCTGCCCCCATAGCCATGACATGTCCTGCATCGTCCACCGGGATCCCTAGAGAGCTGACCTCAAGGCAAGGGCCTCCCATCCTGTCTCAGACTCCCACCCAAGATCAGGACACTTACCCAGGGAAATTTTCTCCCCTGAATCTGCAGGAAGCAGGAAGACGAGGAGGGCCAGTGCGGAGATGAGTACACAGGGGATGAGTAGGTTGAGGCCATAGTAGAGGGTCCTGCGGCGAATGGTCACTGTGAAGGTAACGTCTGGGTAGGGCTCTTTGCAGCACTCATAGAACTTCTCGCTCCGCTTGCCTGGGATTCCTCCATGAACAAAAGGGGAAAGGAACGATGTCTGAAGAAAATTACCCTGCTTGTTTATTTTAATAGGCATAACACACAAATGACCATGGAGTTTGTTAGGTGCTTAAAAAAAAATTTAAAAAAAAATAATAAAACTGGGTAATCAGTGTTTGAATAAACTCTTTCTGGTGTATTTGAGTTGTTCAGGAGTATCTTAGTGATATTGGAGCAAACCAGGAGAATTGTTTTTAATGGATTGAACTAGATGAGGTACAGAGTAAATGTTTGTGTCCCCCTCAATATTCCTATGTTGAAATGTTAACCCCCACAGTGATGACATTTGGAGATGGGGCCTTTGGGAGGGGCACGCCTAAGTCATGAGAGCAGAGCTCTCATGAATGGGATTATTGCCCTTATAGAAGAGGCCCAGAGAACTCCCTAATCTCTTCAGATGTGTAAGAACATAGCCAGAAGACAGCCATCTATGAACCAGGAAGCAGGCCCTCAGCAGACACTGGATATGCCTTGATCTTGGACTTGATCTTGGATTTCCCAGCCTCCAGAACTGTGATAAACAAATTCCTGCTGTTTATAAGCCACCTAATCGATGGTATTTTGTTTTAGCAGCCTGAATGGACTAAGACACCATGATTATAAATAATACATTATGAGCTTTACACCATTATAAATGTAATTACTATTTTTTTCTATTAAAAATCATCAAATATAGGTTTTTGTGAACTGCAATTTGCTATCCAACCTGATTTTAGGAATGGAGCAGATTCTAATAATATAGTCATACCTAAACTAACGCTGACTTCTTTAAATGGCTGCACGTTTCTCATGGAAAGCTCTGAATTTTCTAATTGTTTTTTGTTTCTTATTGTATAGCTCTCAGTAAATTAAGAGATTGCCGCAGGGTTCAATAAATGCTTACACTGAAAAGCAGAGTGGAAAATCCCAGACTTTTAAAGCCAGCCCAGGAATAAAAAGTAGCTTTCAGGGGGGGGGAGGTAGGGAGAGGGTGGTTGGGTTATGGACACTGGGGAAGGTATGTGCTATGGTGAGTGCTGTGAAGTGTGTAAACCTGGCAATTCACAGACCTGTACCCCTGGGGCTAATAATATGTTATATGTTAATAAAAATTTAAAAATTTAAATTAAAAAAAATTGAAAAAAAAACCCTAGGAGCTAATAAATGGGTACTGTTTTATAAATATATATATTTTAAAAAGTGGCTTTCTACAAGGCTGCTAGTCTCATGTCTTTGCTGGGCTTACCCACAAGGTCCCATTCTCCATTTGGGATATAGCCGCTGATATCTGCCTCTTGCATCTGTAGATCCAAGGACCACCCTCCATAGGACCAGGACCCAAACTTCAGTTTGCACTGCTGCACATCAAAGGGGAACCAGCGCACGTCAATGTAGCAGGAGCTCTTGAATATGCCTATGTGGGCAACAAAACAGTCAGAAAACCGAAATGGAAGGGGACCAAGCCCGGTTTTAAATACCCAGCAGTCTCACACTGCTGGTGGGAATGTGAACTGGTATAGTCATTATGAAAACAGTATGGTGATTCCTAAAAATATTAAAAATAGAACTATTATATGAACCAGTGACCCCACATCTGGGTATATATCCAAAGGAAACAAAATCGCCCTCCGGGAGAGAGAACTGCACCCTCATATTCACCATGTTCACTGCGACATTATTAGCAACAGCTGAGGAATGGAAACAAGCTAGTATTCATCGATGAATGAATAAAAAAAGAAAAAGATTATCAAACCATACACACATGCAAACGCATACACACACACAGTGAAATACTATTCAGCTTAGAATAGATGCAGATCCTGCCATTCGCAGTAACATGGATGAACACGAAGGGCATTTTGCTAATTGAAGTAAGCCAAAGACAATACTCTATGATCTCACTTACATGTGGATTTTGAAGAAAAAAAAAAACAAAAAACAAAAACAAGAACAAAAAACTGATCTCACAGAAACAGTGAGTTCCCAGGGGCTGAGGGAGATGGGGAAATGGACAGGGGCTGGTCAAGAAGTACATTTGAAGGATCCGCGGTACAGCAAGGGGACTCTGGTGGGTAACATTGTGTACTTGAAATGTGCTAAGAGAGCAGATCTTAAACATTCTCATGAAAAAAACAAAACAAAACAAAACCCAGCCCTGTAAGGTGATGGATGTGTTAACTTTGTGGCATCATTTTACAACGCACGTGTATGTTCAGTCATCGTGTCACACACCTCATTACATTCTCATTCGTCAACCGTACTTCAGTAAAGATGGAAGAAAATGAAATAATTATAAGTAAATAAATAAATAAACACAGAGCTATTCTTTGGGTCTCTAACCTCATATGCTGTTCATAATATGTGCTGCCTCTTCTTCGTGGAAAGGGCTGGTGAGTTAAATAATACATTATTTTTGATGTTCATCTTTATGATCGATGCCTCATGTATACGTTGTTCTGGCCTACCTGTGTTCCCTTCAAGAAGTGGAGACGTAGGCTCCTGGGCCTCTAGACTAGGTGTGACCAGAGAGGCCTCCAAACCACAGCTAGACCTGTCCAGAACAAGCTTGGTCTTTTTTGGAAAAAAATCTCTAGAAAGGAAGCTCAGCTGAAGCTTCACAGTCTTAAAATTCACAGACAACGCTGTCATGCTCTGTTGAAGACTCTATTTAAGGATTTCTTTGCAAAGAATTAGAAGTTCTGTAAACTTGCTCCTACCATGTCTATGTACCTTCAAACTCTAATAGGAGAAAAGTAAAGAATGTAAAAATAATCACAGAAAAGTTGATAAAAATGATGAAGGGTTTAGAAGCAGAATATAAAAGGGACGTGTGTGGGACGGAGAAGCAGGGTGGGCATGTCCTGAGGTTAAAAATTGAGGGGAAAAAAAAAAACAAAACAACACACTGGGGGCTCCTGGGTAGCTCAGTTGGTTAAGCATCTGCTCAGGTCATGATCCCAGAGTCCTGGGATCGAGCTCCATTTTGGGCTTCCTGTTCTGTGGGGAGTCGTTTTTCCCTCTCCCTTTGTCCCTCTCCCTGGTCATGCTCCCTCTCTCTCAAATAAATAAATACAATCTTTTAAAAAATTGAGAAAAATACTTGGTTATCTAGAAATGTATGTGGAAGATAATTTTAACTAGTTAAGATCTTAGATTAAGAACAAAGACTGATAGGTTTAAATTGAAGACAGTGCTTGGGCACAAGTAAAAGTTCCCACTGAAAAGAGTGACTTCAGCCTAAGACAAGTTGGAAGTGAATTTTCGGCAGGTTATGAAGATGAAACCAAATAAGCCCCCTTCAGCAATTTATGCCCATGTGCTCCTCCCTGCCCAGAAAAAGGCTTGAAGGCTGTGGAAGGCACAAAGAGCTAACGGTGCCCTCTATTCCTGGGGACAGGGTCAGTGCTCCATACATTTCTGCTAGTAAATTTAAAAAAAGAAAAAATGAATGGAAGAAGGGACTCAGCAGCCTTGCAAGCACAAACCTTCACTCCACAACCAAGCTGGGAAAGGATAAACAATGTCCCATCCTCACAAGTTCCTTTAAGGGCCATGTCCGCTGTTTATAGGAATCCACAGATGCTGCCCTCCCATTAATGGGCGAGACCCCCAAAACCCACACTGTGGGAAATGTAACTCCATAACTGAATTATTCCATTTCCATGAAATGGCCAGAGAGAGAGTATCCCTAGAGATAGAAAGCAGATCAGTGGTGGTCTAGGACTGGCAGTAAGGTGGGGATCAACTGCAGGATGGTAAAAGGGATCTTTTTGGGGTGATAAAAAATAACACTAGATTTTGGTATTGGTTGTACAACTCTGTGAATTTATTAAAAATCACTGAATCGTGTACTTAGAATGGATGACTGTATGATATGTAAATTATATAATAAACCTGTTAAAAATAAAAACATGAAATAGAAAGACAATTTCATAACCAAATCTTTATTTCAAATCGTGCATCCAAAACACTTTTTTTTTTCTTGCCTGTACTTGGTTGCATGAACAGAACAGCATCCCAGACCAGTCCCACATGACCCCAGGGCACAGGCTTGCTGCCCCAGGTCAGAGTGCTCCATTCTGCTCCTGCCAAAGTAGGGGAGTCTCCCACACTCACAGCACAACATGCCCTGTCCTTCCCAGGCTCCTGGGGCCATGAAGGCTGGGACACAGGCACGGAGCCCCAGAGGACTTTGCTGCACACAGGTGGCCTAGGGCTCAGGAATGCTGCTTCTTGTAGCTGAAAATAGCCTCAGCCCTCAAAACAATGTGCAGCACCATATTCTTGTATACTGATGACTACCGGAGATCGTTTTCTAAAATAGCTCTCATAATAGAAACTGCAACTCCCAGGCTGGGGAAAAAAAATGTATGGGTGTGTGATGGAAGACTCATCCCATAGCCTCAGTCCCCCAGGGACCTGCGGTTAGGCAGAAAGTATGCTTGGGCTGGGGGAGGGGTGAAGGAACAGGGGAAGCAGCAAGGAAGCACATGCTTTCAGGTAGAAAACCTGAAAATCTGTGGTTTTTCAGTCTCTACAAACATTATTGGGAGGTATCTGCCTTTGATGGGTTTAATCACTCACACATTCATTTATGAACAAGTGGGCCAGGTGCCTGGTTGATTAGTGGTGGTTCTAAGGTATGTAAACACAGAATCTGCCCACAGGATGCTTGCCTATCATCTGCTAAGGAGGAAGAATGTGTAAGCAACAACTAAGAAGACAAGGCCAGCTTTGCTGTGTGCTGTGAATGAAGGTGTGAGAATGGGGTTTACTGCAGCAGAAAGGCTGTGTGTGTATGTGAGTGTGTGGTATGTATGGTGTGTAGTGTGTATGCAGGGCTTGTGGTTGGTGTGTGGATATGTGTGTGCAGGAAGTAGGTATGTGGGGCATATATGTGGGATGTGTGGTGTGTAATGCATGTGTAGTGTGGGGGGGGATAGTAGATAGTGTGTGGATAAGGTGTGAGTGTGTAGTATATGTATGTGGGAGATATGGTTGGTGTGTGAATGTGTGTGGATTTGTGGGGGGGAGGTATGAGTGTGGGTATATATGTGGGGTGTGGTGTTTGTGTGTGGTGTGTAGTGTAGGTATGTGGGGGATGTGGCTGGTGTGTGGATATGTGAGTGGAGGAGATATGTATGTAGTTGTACATGTGAGGTATGATGTGTGACGTGTTATGTGTGATGTGTGAGGTGTATGTGTGATGTGTTGTGTGGGGGGCTGTGGTTGGTGTGTGAATGTGTGTGGATATGTGTGTGGGGGAGATATGGATGTGGGGTGTATATGTGGGGGTGTGTGCGTGTGATGTATAATGTATGTGTGTGGTGTGTGTGGGAGTGGTAGGTGTGTGCATACGGTATGGTGTGTGTGTGTGTGTGTGTGTGTGTGTATGGTGTGTAATATATGGGGATGGTAGGAATGAGGATACGGTGTGTGTGTGTGTGTTTATGTTGGTGTTGGGGTAGGAGTTGGCTGCAGATTGCCTGGAACAGGAAGTTGAACAGTTGCAGTGTGGGAGATAATCCTGGAAAAGAACATGTAAAAAAAAATCATCCAAAAGATTTTTAAAACTCTGTTAATATCTGCCTCAAAGCATTAAAACCCAGGTTCCCCATGCTCTGTATTATTCAGTGAGCAGCCGAGGGCTCAATGAATGGAGAGAAATGATGGGTTGGTGGGGAAAAAAAATCAATCCCAGGAAGCAGTTAACCAGCAAGTGGCTGCGAGGGAGAGAAGCTCAGTCAGGAACAAGACACTAATGAGCCCCACTTTGAAACCACTTGCTCTTCTATCTAACATGCAAGTTTTTTAATGCACATGCTCAAAAAGCCTGCAAGTCCATCATCTCGCCCCCAGCACCTGGAGAACAGCCCCTGCCGAGATACGCTGTCTGGTGGGAAGGGAAACAGCCAGCTGAAATGGTGGAGGGAAAGGCCGGGGTGCTTGCCTTGCAGACTGTAAGGAGACCTGGAAGTGACCTGATGAGGGAGACTTGCTTTAACTGTGGATTAACTTTAAAGAACACCTGGCACACAATAAGGACATATGACACATTTCGGCAAAGACAGTTTGAGCCATGACCCCAAGACAAAAAAGAGGAAGATGGCATTGTCATGTTCAAGAAATATCTGCAAACACAGGAGGGGTTGGGTGTGAATGAGGCAAAGGATGCCGCACACTCATGTGAGGACCACTGGGACTGGCACCCTGAACTCGCTTAAATTGTCTAACTATAGAAGGACAAAGGAAGTGGGTCTTACCTGGAGGGAGGTACTGGCAATGCCCAGAAGAATTAACTAACACGTTGGTGTGGAATGTGGCATCGAATCGCTCATCAGCACTAGAAACACGAGAAGGATTTCATGAGTCAGCACTGCCAGGTGGTGGATTTCCCGGGGCCCTTAGTTCTGTCCTGACTGCAGCTAGAAAAGCTTAAGAAGTGCTACCCTTTGTACTGGGATCATGCCAACACCATTTGCAGCTGGCCTGGGAGATCTTCTCAGAGCACAGGCTGGTAGTGGCCAATGTCCATCCATGCCACCCATTTCATATACACTCTGATTTTCATATGCACATAAAACAAAGTTTTTAGCAGAAGTTAAACCTGAAGACAATTTCACAGGACATCAGCAGATGAGACGGTCCTATCTATCTTTAGGAAATAAAGAGCGGGTAAAGCATTCTGCTATGGACAGCCCCATGTGGGCAGGGATTCTGACCCACTACCTCCAAAGCTCCAGTTCCCGCCTCCTGAATGCACCCAATGCTTAGCAGGTGTTTAACCAATACATCTTGAGGGACTGAACTGCAGGCACCAGCAGAGCCCAGAGGCATCCTGGGCCCCATGATTAGCGATGACAGGAAGGAGGGCAGGTGAAGAGAGCAGAGATAGGAACAGGTTTCAGACAGGTACACCCCAGGGTCCTCCCTGCCCATGTTCAGAACCTCCTGCAGCCAGAAGTTACCAACTTGAACAAAGACATGAAACAGGAAAAAAGAACAGTTAAAGCCATCAGCCTTTATTATTCACGTCTTGTATCTTCTGTATTCTGATGCTTTCCTGACCCTGAAGGAATTGTCCCCCCTCCACTGCCAAGGTAGCCAGTTCCTAGAGACAGGAGACAACATGCTCACCAGTGCATCTGTCAAATGCAAACCATCTAATCCAGAGCCCATACCCCAGCCCCCTCCTCCAGGTCTCACACTCCGCCCTCTCTCCCTCTGTCCTAATTACCTGAGGGCAAGGTACCAAGCAACTAGCGATAGCCCCTATGACCCAGAACCCACTGACATCCTTCACACCAGCCAAGCCTAACCCTGCTCACCCTGCCTCGCCAGTTCCAGTCCACAGAAACCACAGCAAAGGCTCTTTCCCTCCAAGAAGATGCCATCGATAAAAGGAATAAAAAATTGCTCCTTAAAAAAGTAATATCCTCTCAGAAATTCAAGAGGACATTGCATTTAGTAAAACAAAGAGAAATATGAAAGTTAAAATATGATTTATAAAATAAATTTTTATAAATGGTTGGGAGGTTTGGCTGAGAACAATCAGAGATGAAATGTAGGACAGAGACGAGGAAACCCTCCAGAGCCCAAGACCTGCGGAACTCACTTGACAGATGCTGGAGAGACAAAAAGGCGGGAGACAATTACTCAAGAAATCACACAGAGAAATGCTGGAGCTGAAAGAAACCAGTCAAGCATGAAGGCAAAGGGAGGCACTTTCACAAACGTTAAAGGGCTCAGAGGGCTTGTATCCCACGTGTATTTTCTTGGTCATGGATTTGAGGATGAGCTCTAGGAAAATAAGGGTGAATACTGAAAAAGGAAGGAATAAACTTTTGGACTAAACCTAGGGATCAAGTAAATGTATTTCCATATTGAGCTGTGCAGCAGGCCTAGAAGAGGAGGGATTGGGAGGCCTGTCCAAATTACAGCAAGAGATGAGGGGTCTCAGGAGAGTGAAATAGATTCAGAGCAAGGGAGAAGAGAAATAAGCTGGAAAACACCATGCATTTTATCAAGAACACATTTTTTAAAATTACAGTAAAATATCAACCAGAAACTTCAGGGCGGGGGGAGCTATACAAAAAAGCCAGGGTTAGGGGGCACCTGGGTGGCTCAGTGGTTTAAAGCCTCTGCCTTCGGCTCAGGTCATGGTCTCAGGGTCCTGGGATCAAGCCCCACGTGGGGCTCTCTGCTCAGCAGGGAGCCTGCGCCCCCCGCCCCTCTCTGCCTGCTCGTGATCTCTCTCCCTGTCAAATAAATAAAATCTTAAAAAAAAAAAAAAGCCAGGGTTTGAATATGAAACAAATATGTGATGAGGTGCAGAGGAAGAAGCGGGGAGAGAGACTAAGCTCCTAGTTTTGGGATGAAGAACACTCCTACATCCTTACTGGCAAGCGCGCCCAGGGAGAGAGAGGAGGAGGCCGGCTCAAGGTGCAAATATTCTCTGCTTGACTGTGGTCTGTACCCAACTGTTTCCATGAAACAAATGATAAACAGTGACTGGGCACAGAAAAGCTGAACATGTGGACCATCACAAAATCGCTCTAGCTCAAACCATGATCTTCAAACCGGGTTCTCTGGAACCCTGAGATTTTCTGGGTGTGCTCTGGAGTTTCTGTACATGTAGACATGTAGATTCTGATACTCTCTTTTCCTTGTACTTGATAATACTAATAAAATTCCAAAGACACTCAAAGGACTTTTAGAAAATTCTACCTCTTCAGACTAGACAACAGATGGATTACTACCTGTGGCCCATTTGCCCATTTAACTCCCTTCTGGCTGAAAGTTAAGCTAAAACTTCTCTTGCCATGCCTGTGCATGGATTTGAACCTCTTGCAAATTAGTTACCCGGTAAGATTTCAGTTTTGCACTGCTCTTTTTAAAAATCCACATTTGAGCCTACAGTTCTAGCACAGAACCTGGACCCCACTGCACAGCCCGTTCCCACCACTGCAACAACTTTTTTTTTTTTTTTTTTTTTGGGCTCAGGAGGCACCAACAGAAACCAGGATGGTGGTTGGGGGCGGGGGGTGGGGTGGGGTGGAGGGGAGTCCGCAGTTGGGGAGATAGGGACGCATGACACAGGATGCATAGTTCTGCTTATTTTAAGCTTGGGTTTCTTCTTGTCTGATTTTTATATTTATAACAAAGGCTGTGAGCATCTGTTAGATCAGTGACTTAATTCTAGAGGAAAAAAAAAAAAAAGAATTCCTCCTAGCTCTTCCTCCACACATTTGGATCAATTTAATTGAAGAGACTCTTGAGATCACAAGACAAATGTGTAAAAACAAGATAAAAATTGGTTTCCATTAGCAACAGTTTACCTGTGTGACTCACTGATTTCTAAACACAGTTCAACCAAAACAGAATATTGAGATAAACAGAACTGTAACACTGTTATCGTTATCAATGGTCAAATCTTAATATTCGTTTTGATAGTCTTAGAGTTCTTTGCTATTTTCTACACCAATGATGTAAAAGTAAACTGCTGTAATAACTGTATGCTAATACCACTTTATCTGTTTTGGCCATTAGAACTGGAGATGAGATTTGTTTGCAAAAGGGCTCTCTTGCTAAAAACTGAGGCTGAACAGAGCTCTGTAAAACATGAGTGGCCCCAAGCCACTGCCATGACACAGGGGCGTGACAGTGTCAGTGAAACGTGTCCCGTGGCCCAGCACTAGGTCATGCAGTGATGTGTAATGGGTGCCAGGGGAGAGGGAGCATGAGGTGTGAGATCATACAGCTTTGTAGCCAGCAGACACTGATAACCATGGGAGTAGGGGTGGGTCCACAGGCCTTGGCTCACTCCTCCCTCTGCTCTGGTATGCATGTGAAACTTTCTGTATTAAACAGTTTGAATATATATACTGTTTATGTCCTTAAGACATGATGAACCCTCAGAGTTCTTGACGACTCAGGCACATGGTCGCTTCATTCCCATCGACAGCTCCTCTTTCCAGCTGCCTGCATCCTTGTCCAGCCAGAGGAGGACAGAAAAGCCCTCCATTGGTGTGAGGAGAACTCTGGGTACACCCTCCTACACCAATAGGGCAACAAAGGGCAAAGGGGCTTTGTCACTGAAAAGTGATCATAGAGAGGATGGATATTTAGCCCAATTATTCAGACCCTAATGTCCTTCATGGGGTAGTCAGGAAGAAAGGGCAACTGGACAGGCTTGAAAGGTGGGCATAACTCCAGCAGGTAGAAAGGAAGGTTGGTACATCCCCAGCAGAATGCATGGTCTGATCATATACCTGTAAGTAAACTATACAGAGGGAAGCCCTGTGAAGGTGTGATTTGCCTGGATGCTGGGGTGAGTGAGGTTTGCCCCAATACCTTACCATAGCACTTGCCTTAGCAGGAAGGCTAGCATCAGGGCTTGAGGGCAAACCATGGGTAGCCATGCCTGCAGGGTCCAGGGTTCAATGCTCAGTGAGTTCACTGAAAGCTGTACTTTCAGAAGTCAATGAAGGCACAGGCAGAGATGAACTTGGGGGTCTGGGATTAGATGTCTTCCTGTTCTCCATCCCCCTGGCGCTCTAGTACTGGCTCCTGACCTGGGAAGCAGAGCCTCTGAAGCCAGCTCACTGTAGCCTCCTGCTTAGCTTGCCCTACAGTACAGACCCCTACAGTCTGCAGGAGCTCAGCCTTAAGCCTTAAGCCAGGGAAAAGAAAGTGACCGTGACACTCACAGCATCATCTGTCCCTGGAGTCCAGCTGTCAGTGCCCTGAGAGAGAACAGGGGGGCCAGTCATCAAGGAAGCCCAGAAAGACCAACCCCCAACAAAACTAAACTAAAGACTCTGAATATTAGTAATGCAGAAGGATTAGGGAAAAAATAATCCAGGGTCACCCTGCTGTACCAAAGAGCCCACTAGGTGTGTGAGCTCATGAGGACCTTGATGAATAACTCATGTGAGTCCATCCTGTCCTCTCTGAGCTCACATCGTCCTTCAAAGAGAAACGGAAAAGCAGAAGAGAAGAAAAATGATCTCAAATGTTCTTACCGCAAAATGAAATAATGATTATGTGATGTGCTAGAGGTGTTAGCTAATGCTACAGCAGTAATCTTATTGCAATATACACACGGATCAAATCAACACATCACACACAGTAAACTTGCATATTACATGTCAATTATATCTCAATAAAAAATAATAAAATTAAAATATTGGAATGAAAAAAAGTAAAGGAGGAAGACAGAGAGAGCCAATCTATCTCAAAATACAATGGATTTAAGGTATCATTTATATTAAATCTCTTGCCAAAAAAAAAAAAATGTTGTCAATTACACGATAAAACACCTCTTAAGTAAGGCATACCTAG